TAAATAAAGAAATTGATTCAAGAAACAAGGAATGCAACATCGGGGGGTCTAACAAAGAAAATCCTATAGGCATCATCCATACAAAAATAAGCAACAGAGGAGGGACAATCCTCACAGATAACAAACGGATCAAAAATAGAGCCACCCATCTGGGCAATTTGATCTGCATACATCTTAGACTCCCTAACAACATGGGAGGGTTCAATGTGATCAAAGTGCTGCTGCATGTCCCTACAATCTAAAATCAAAGTGTAAAGGCATTGAGTAGGAGAAGCATCATGAGTAAGCAATTATCTTCAGTGGTCATGAAATTGTTGTCTACCAGCGAAACAAAATTTATTGTAAGATCTATATTAAGATTTAATGTTGACAATTTAACTACTATTTACGAGAATAATTGACAAGTGGGCGTTTGGTCTAGTGGTATGATTCTCGCTTTGGGTGCGAGAGGTCCCGAGTTCGATTCTCGGAACGCCCCTCTCGTAAACTTATTTTTTTAGTTGCTTTTCTCATTATTTCACCATGTGCCACTCCAACAAATACATATAATTTTTATTTTAACGGTACAAACAACATTAGTTTCAGTTGCATAAATTAGAGCATTTTTACGTAAATATAAGTTCAACAATGCAAGTCTTAACATAACATCATCAACTCTCAGTATGAGTCTGAGACAACCAATTGATCATACCCTACTACATACCCCTTCAGGATGAATTTTTCCCTTTAAATGATTACTACAATACTAGATCAAGATCCAACACTTGGAAAAATGGACCATCAGAATTATCAGCTTTGTGTTCCCAGTCGGCCAAATACAAATCTCTTTTTTTTTTTTTTTTCTGTTGCTTATCATAATATGCAGCAAATTTTCACAATCATAGTAAAAATAGGAAGCCACACTTTGGTGCCTTTGACTAGTTAAAAAGAGGTAAAAATTAGGTGACCTGAACTGCAAAATAGGAATGTGGTGCTACATGTGGTAAAGGAAGTTCACTCCATAACTGCAACTCCTCCAGCAGCTTTTATCTTCTCTATTATATCATTTGCTTCCTCCTTGGAGACCCCTTGTTTAAGCACAACAGGCACCTTTTCAACAAGGTCTTTGGCCTCCTTCAACCCCAGATTAGTAAATGCCCTAACTTCTTTGATAACCTTGATTTTCGCAGGAGCATCAAATTTCTCCAACTTCACATCAAAGGCTGTTTTCTCCTTCTTTTCCTCCACCTTCGCAGGTCCAGCAGCTGCTCCTCCCTGTGGACCCAAGTCCATGCCTTCAGTTGAAATTGATTGTAACCTGGGAAACCTTAGCCTCTCAGTGAGTGTAGGACCAATTTGTCTGCGTTCTTCAGGAGCCAAAGCAGCAATGCGCTCCGCCAGTTGAATAATCTTATCAGAAGGTGGGGGTCTAGGGCCATATGGATCATAGACTTGTGGATATTTGTAACTTTTAGGTTTTGCCTTGGGATCTCTTGGAACAAAATCATGCTGGAATGCACGAATCTGCAAAGGCCCAATTACTTCATGAATGGAGGGGCAAACTCGAAAGGATTTTACAAGTCCTAGCAGCTTCATGGTTTTCTATGTCAAATAAAACAATAAGTTCTCTATCTTCATAAATAATACATTCAATGTTTTGGCCAAAAAAAAAGAGAGGATAAAACAATAAGTTACCTGCTTTAGCCAGACATCACCTTCAGAAAGCTCAACTGCAGTGGCAAGAAAAAACAATATTATTTCTTCTTAAAAGGTTTTCCCCACCTCAGATAGAAGGTAGACAAAATGATCCAAGAATGAAAAATCAGTAGAGAAATGTATAATTAGTAGAACTCATTTGAATTCTGGCCAAAAATAACAGAGGAAGACACGAGTCTAATTCCAGACCACTTCAGATGATTAGATCAGAATCTAAAATTTTGCAATGCAAACGCCTATAACAGACTACATGATGGAATCAATGTCTTTCAATCTTATAGGGTAAAAACAAATTTGTTAAAAAGGAAAAAAATACACAAATGTGAACCCTGGAAATTCAGTCATGCTCTAGGGGTTCCCCAATTTCATTTCACAGCACCCTTAATTTCACATTTTTCACACTTGCAATGGTTGATGCAATGACCAGGAAACTAACTTAAACTACTGCTTCCATTTCAAGATAGCCTACCTCAAGTTAAGCCTTAATGCATTATTACCAATAAAAATGAGGTCTTCGCAATATATACCTGAAATTCCCTCTCTTAATAAGTTCTATATAATTATTTTATCAGCAACATAAGATATTTTATTTAAAATAGTACAATGGGTATTCTAACCCATCTTACAAAACTCCTCAATCCGAGATACATACAATAACATAGCTCTGCACAATCCCCTGTTGAACTTGCCACGATGCCGAGTACATAAACAGAGACAAAAAATCAGACCACCCACATAGATAATTAATCCCTACTATGCATGTTAAAAATAAGCTATAATCTTCCAGACATCCTTGCCAACGAACCCCCAAAAATCAAAATAACAATAAAACACTCCCAGCATCAAAATCATCATGCTTCAGCTATCTCCACCATTAAAATACAGAGAAAAAAAAAATGAATTACTGCATTTACAGCATATTTCCATTCTAATTACTTCCCTCACACTAAAAAAATAGCTACAACCCATTCAATCAAGCTGTTAGGGACATAATTCTAGCATTCCATTAATTGGCAAGACCAATCATAATAAGAAAAAAAATGGCTCCTTCTTACTTGAATTAATACCATATATATAACAAAAAATTTACTGAAACTTTATATATGTCAGTTATGGATGCAAGAACAACAGCCTTTCCAAACTGAACGATTATACCATTACAATGAGTACTTCAACTTGATATTCAAATTATAACCATGTATTCTAAGATTGTGAGCTCGAAACATACCTTTTCTTTCCGACGGAAACTTCACCGGCGATTAGAATTTTCCGGTGGATTTTGACAAGGCAGAGAAGAGGTTTAACGTGTCCAGCACCTATGGGGTTTTTCGTACACCTTGCATACTGTGAAACCCTAAGATATGAAGAAGATGTTCTTTTGGGCTTGGCCTCAACGAATTTGTATCATATTTGGGCCTCCCTTGATATCAGAGAAGATGAACCCGTTTGATTAGCATTAACAAGTTTGAATTACATTTTGGGCTTATTGTTTGACGGCCCATTCTTTTTCCTCTTGTTCAACCAGTTTCCTTTTTTTTTTTTTTTTTTTTTCCATGCATCTCTAAGATACAAATTAAAAGCATAATAAATATATTTTTAGTTATAAAATTGTTTTAAAAGAACAAAAATTGACCTTAAATTTATTAAGAAACTTTCTAATATGTGCCCTTAAAGTCTGATAAATACTTATGTTGGTCATAAATTTGTATTTAAAAAAAGTAAAAATTGACACTTAATTTACCAATACTTCAAGTTAAATTCATTTACTTGA